AATGTCATGGAACTTAGGGGTTGTTTACTGGTTTAGTAACTTGGAAATTTAAGATTCACTTTGTCTTGTAGGATGGCTGTAGTAACTGGAGGTGCGTTCTGCACATATGGTTGTATTCAGCTTTGTTAAAATAATATTGACGCAGTGCAAAGTTCGTCACGCTCCTCGCCGGTAGTATCTTCCTCTCTGAAGGAGAACATACACGGTAAACTGGTCGTTGGCTTGTTCGCTGAGCTGAGTGATTTGATTGCAAACGTTTCACCATTAATCGAGGTGACATCATCAGTGCGTTATTGGGGGCCGTAGTGGTATGTAGCGGTGGGTTAGTGGTTGGCAATCAAATTGCCCAGCTCAGCAAACAAGCCAACGACAGTCTACCCTACCTGAGTTGCCAACATTTTCCTCCATATAAAATGGGTAAACTGTTCACTCTGGGAACATATTCTCACCTCGTAGGTAAGGAAGCTGACCAGTAATCTCAAGTGCACAGTTGATGTGCACTGATGGTGTCTCCTGGTATAGTGACGAAACGTTTATAAGCAACTTTTCAAGCTCGGCAAACAGATCAACAGTCATCCGATCAGCAACCAATAAACTCACCTGGGCTACCAGTATTTCAACAGATTACCATACAATCGCAAGTACTACAAAAATTTGCCCATTTAAGAGATAATGCTTGCACCCAGTTTTCTCACTGCGAAAGAGATGCTGAAGTACTGATTGTTTTTTCCCCTAATGCACACATCAATCGACAGGATATACGCGTACAGCCATTTGCACAGTACTCACACACTGAGGAGTATGACATAGAGCACTTTCATCGGAAAAAAGACAACGTAAACTTCGTCATGCTTGAAAGTGCCATAAATCATTCATTTAACGTTCTAATTGCCAAAACCCTAGGTGAGTTAAGCTTTTTAGCTTTAAAGCCACGTATGGATTAGGTCCTAAACACCGACATTTTCGACCACACTGTAGAAAATTGGCCATTCAGTACCAGGTGTGAATTTTTATACATTTAAGAAGATTTCTCAATGACACATACCATGTGTCCAACTTTTCAGAAACCTCGCCTGAAGAACTAACGTTTGCCAATTATGTTTTGCTGCTCTTACAGAAATTTATTTATTAGAGACCCTTTTTTCGCTCTGCTTCGTTAGTTACTTATGTTGACGCTTTTAAACTAGTGAAAGGACAAGCAGGTGAGTTATTATGATATAAATTTGTGATATAAATCTAGTGCCTTAGGAGCTCGTTTATGACAAATTAGGTTCCTATCACAAGCTGACCTGAGAAAACCTTCTCGGTAATGTATACAACAACGTAAAACATTCACATAGGTATTGTTTGAAAATACGATAAACCGTCACCTATTACGCCAAGGAAAGTGTTGCAGAGACTGGTTCGCGTTGGGAGACACCTCGACCACTATTGAACACACTTTTCAGCAAGATTTCTTTACGACCTGTTCCATATGTAGTATCTTTAGAGCATAAAAAGGTTATGTTAGAAATAGGAGAGAAAGACGTACTGCATACTCTATGGTTACTTGAAGGAAACCCTTGGCTCACAGTTAGAAAGAATGAGTTTGCACCAATCCTATGGAGTTTAGCTAGCTGTTTCCCAGGCCCAATAACAAATGAATTGCATTAAGTGCATTTGCTAACCATCATTCGTAAGTATTCGGTATTTATTCTCATACCGTATTTTTGCAGCATCCACTATTGCTTTTTATGAGGGAAGCATATTTCTTTTTTTATGGCCAAGCTATCCTTTAAATGGTCGCACCGATTATTCGATCGATACTAGGTTACCAATATTGAATAAAGATGCTTGAAACGTTAATGCGGTGTAATTGGACAATAGCGAGCTGCATTTATGGCTTCCGAAAACATCCACAAACATAGTGTACTCCCGAGGAGCTTGTTGGTTGGCCACGCACAGGGGTGTTATGGAGGTGGCAACCGTTTTAGCTGATCTAGCTACACTGTGCCCAGCTTCATTTTTACAGGTGTAGTTGGAGCTACGTTCTCCCAAGGATTATAGTGCAGATGCTGCGATTCACGTAGTAATGAATTTGAATCCACTTAGTGCGATACGTTTGATATTCTTTCGAACAATTCAGTAAGTCCTCAAAACATCTCAGTACTAATAGTGGCAGTTGTGTGTATTACCCTAGTCTAATACCGTGCCAGAAGAAACCTGGCTGACAGTTAAATTATTTTTTAATGTTATCATTCTATGTGGAATCTTAAGTTCAACAAAGTCCCTATTCAAATAGGCTTAATACTAGAAAACAAAATGAAATCCCTAATATTCTTATCGTTGTAGGATCAGGTGACTGGGTTTTTATAGGAATAAATTTCAACAACTGACCAAATTTTTTTCAAATCAAATAATGTGGCACTACTATCTAAATCCAAAATGGAAGTTTCTGTGTTGGTGTTGTCTTGAAAATTCATGGCAAATGACATGGAATAGTCCCATGTCCCACTACAACCCTGGAACATTTTGTCTGTTTGGTAGATTTTTTAAACAAATACTGGCACCCTTGGTTTGTTGGTGGTGGTCTTAGAAGCAACGTTTCGTCGCAGAGGTTTCCTCTGGCGTTCTGCAGCAAGTGGTTTGAAAATGCCCGATTGGAAGCTAGTCATACTTAAGCTGGTACTAAGACTATCATTTAGCATAGTCGAAAACATTTCATGTCGGTTGCTTCTCCATAATTTATCCGTAGTAAACGTACCGCTTGTTAGGCATGGATGTATGAAAGCGCCTGTAAATCATTAAAAATGGAAGGCTTCTAAGCTAACTTGTCTTTCGAAACTAAGGAAGAGTGGTTGTTCCTTACAGTCATGTATTTTGTTTGGGCTAGTACACAGCAGTTGGATCGGTTTTGATTCTAGGCCAAGTCACATTTTGTCACACACGTTTTACATGATACCATTTGTGCCCCATTTTAATGGGTGTATGTTTGGTCCAAGCTTCGGTTTCTATTGAGGTCTATTTCTCAATAAATGCCTTTCTAGAAAGTTACAGCACCGACACAAGTCATATCTTTAGTGGGCAGAAAATTGATTAGGGCATGCTGCTGTATAGAACATCCGGTTGAAAATTCAGAATAATGTGGTTATTGCGCCTGAAAAGCGCCCTCTGGATTATGGACTGAACTACAAACTTTTTACTGGTGAAAACGGGATTTGGTAGTAAGTAGGTTGTAGAGTACTGGTAGTTAGCATAAAATTAGCTTAGTTAAATGAACAAAATGAATAGCTTTGGGATTGCAAGTTTTCATCAGCTCTGCTGATCCTGAAATGGGAAGGCTTTGAAATCATCTATCATCTGTCACCACCCTCTTAATGACACATGGTAGCGCGACAGTTCTTAGGTTTTCAGATGTTACATTATTACGATCAAGCAGTTTTTAGCATACTAGAGTTTTTTAAGGGTTTGAGGTGTTTGATTGGTTCGTGGATCATGTAAGTGCAATATAATAGAGCCTCCTCGACAGCTTTTATCTCTTTGCATGACCAAATAGATAGAAATTAACTTAACAAGTGTTCTTCGCTCTAGAATGGCCGGTAATTTCCGGGGTTTATCAAGTGATCATTTCAAGGGGCGGCTTGTTTTGTCAGTGCGACATGTTTAGTATGTAGCCCGGGAAGTTGTGTGTAAGAACAGGGTAGATATAAAGGACCTAACAGTTCCGTATACCTCGACCTTTATGACCGACCAGTCACTGCCGAGCAATAAACGGGAATTTTTAGGCTTTCTGTTGTCACTGGGTTTTCTGGTTGTCTGTTGAAAGAGGCAAAAACCATCTAATAAGGGCTGAAAACTTCCAAGCACTAGACGTGTTAAACGAGGGGATTGTTTTCGACAGTGGTTCTTGGTGCTCGCAAAAGTCTTCCAGTACTGTAGCAACCCTATTGCTGAGCATCAAGTTAACTCTCAGGTGCTTTTGGAAGGCCAACTTTGGTTGTGGCGGTATTACCCATTTGAAGGAGGTTTTCAAGTTTGTATGGTCAAACCAAGCGTTGACTTGCTCGTCTGGATCGTTTAACTCCTGAATACAGCCAATAAAAACAGACCCCGAGTTAGTACGTGCAGCATCTCCTGTCTACTAAGGGTCCACCTCCCGAGGCTTGTAGGTCATCAGAGGGATTGGACTGTACATTGGCTACAGCATATAGTGGCTGTGGGCAGTCTTCGCACTTTAGCATAGGTAGAATCCGGTCTTCCAGGAAGCTTGATCGCGACAGTTGCTTCAAAAGATATCAGTGATTTTTTCGCGTTCGAGTTTACCCGTTCTACGGCTGAGATGTATTTGGACTGTTTAAACTGGTACTGTAAAACCAAAGCTGCTTTGTAAAAAAAACTGCACTGGTAAGCTTCGTACTGGCTTACTGGAACCAGCTCCCTTGGTGAATTTGAAGCCCAACGTGACTCCCTTGTTGCTGGAGAGCAGTTGGCTGTTCGAATCACGTTGGTAGACACTAGTGCACTCGAACAGACGAGAAGGCGTGATCATCTCACTCTAATACCATCAGCTTGACCTCGGTATGACACTCCTTTCAGAGTCGAAGTCCACTAGATTTGGCTGCTTACTCCTGCGTGCATCCATTCAAGTCAAATGGACCAGGGACTAGCCATGTAGTTAGTCTGGAATCCATGGATTCTATGACAGAGAGCCCTGCAAGTACCAGTCGTAATATGACATAACCGAAATAATCAGTCGCTACAAAAATGTAGGCTGATTAACGAATAAAATATATCTTTTTATGGGCAGCTACGCAGAGCAGTTTTACGGCATAAAAGTTCGATTTTACTTTGTGAGTAAAGCAAAAAGCCAAATGTAACTTCACGGTGCAAACTGTTCAAACAAACTACTTAAACACTCTGACGTAGTACAGTTTGCCAAAAAGTTTATCAATATAAGCTTCTATAAAAACCCGCAGTCTACAAACAAGTGTACTCAGTCAAAGAGGCAAATTGTGACAAACCTTTTCGTAGCGAAGTATTTCTTTCCGCTCATAGTTTGATAAGGTATTCCGGTACCTATTCAGCGCTTCGAACGCAGATAATCCACTAGTTGATATAAACTTTTTTTCCGAGGAGAAGGCCGAATCCGAAAGCGATCCAAGGTCAACTGGCACTCCAGTTGACTCTATTCCGTCCGCACGCATTGTTATTTTACTATTTGATAGGTTGAGTGAGTGGCTTCAGTGGCATAGTCAGCAAATCCACCAGTAGCGCACGTTGACACGCGCACACACAGAATGCATTTTGAAAGTATTCTTCACGTGCAAGGTCAAGTAACACACTCAATTGCTTCAATGTATGAATACTTCATCCAGTTCGTCAAGTCGAAAAGGCGTATCCACATGCAAAAAATACGAGGGCTTATTGGCTGGAACTACTAGTTGTCCTTTTTGCAGACAGACTCTGCGTAACCATATGAAAATAAGGGGGCGGCTGTTACTCAATACTCACAAGAAGAAATCTTCCTGGAAATTTCCAAATCACACAAGAAAGCGATATGTACTGCTCAAGAGGCCAGGAAGATGATCAGTGAACATCCATCCGAGAAGCCGTCACGTGAAGAGCAGATGACTAGCTGATCACTTGACATGAAGTCTGTGGTTGAGGGTGAGTGGCGCTCTATCCTCCCTGAGTGAAATCTAATCGCACTGTTGATGGACTTCAAAAGAATCTGGAAAGGCACTTTTGTTCATAAGGAAGCACGATTTGTACGATTAGCACGTACTACCCACCAGACATTTTCCAACTCTACTTCACACGTTGATTATGCACTCCGTGACTGCACCAGACCATCGCCTGTGTCGGTGCGGGATTTGCAATGCGACGAGCTTGTACGCTGCACTTTCAGCGGTAATATTTCCTCGCCAGGCCTTTTTTACGATTTGCTCCAGAACCGCCCCCATACGGGGTTTAGTACAAACGTCCGCCAGTGACTTGACGGGTAAACGCGGGTGGGCCAAACGACTGTCTTCCGCTGCTACAGCAAGGTGATTAACATGACTGATACTCTATTCATTGCTCTGTTCATTATTCTCTTGGTTTAATATTCCGTATGCTGTACATATACGCCGATTCGAATACATACGTGTTACTTGTTGCGCTGATCTGAATTCCGGATTTCTAGTCGTCTGGTTATACCAATATACGTACGAAATTTAATTCTCACATGCAATAACCGTCAATGATGACCATTTTATTCACACCAATATTTCCTTATTCGCCATTATACTCCTTTATTCCCATGGTTTCCGGTCGGTTCGAATGTTGGTGGTACACAAGGCACCAATCGCCCTCCAACTTTTTCACCAACAAAAGATCTTCCAAAACTTGATTACAGGCTGTCCACTTTCTGTGTTGACTGATGGCGTCACGGAATATTTTGGAAACGGCAACCGAACGTTTCACGACTTCGGAATTTGTTAAGCCTATCTCAGGGAGTGAAGGAGGAGGTAAGAAAGAAATTTTGTCATGGAATAAACTACTCCCTAGCTGCGTGATCTCCAGGTAGCCTTTGAGATAATTGCCCACTTTTCGTTTCCTTGTAAAAGACATGCCATAAAGTAATACCTACCCTCCAAGTGTTTCATCGGTCGGACTTTTCTGAGAAGATTCCAGGTCAGCAAGAACCCAGTGCACCTGAGCACCCTATTTGTAATGCAGCCCCGTATGTTGTCGACGTTGATTGGTTTGCTTGCATCCGTGTCGTGAGCAGCTAATAGGGTAATCTTTCTGGTGCCACTGCTTGGCTGGCAGCGTGAAAGCATGCATGACTGTTGATTTCATAATTGTGTTCAGGCTAAGGTCGTGATTGAGTGACCAGTCCTAGACGAAATAAGGAGACGTCTTCACAGTCGACGTTCCCTACCCAAAAGTCCCATCAATAGACAGTGGTTACTGACGCGCATGTAACGTTCTAATCTCCAGGTTATAAAATACGGCGACTCTGTTGACGAACCACTGGAAGTTAGCCAAACTTACCCACGGAAAGCATGCTGCCGAGGTTTGCAACCACATCAAGATAATGGCGCCCTGCCTCCTCGGGATAGACCACTGCACTAAAACAGGATGGAACAAATATACATGCTTTTGCAAATGAATTTCCATCCGAGTCTCTGTGTGGCACGTATTCGTTGTGCAAACACGAGCTGAACAGCCCCCGTGGGTCCAGTGTCTGCGCTTGCAGATGTAAGAAACTGTCAGCAGTGACATAGGCATCCACAGTATATGGTATAAGGCAGCGGTTTGAAGTTTACAAGCTAGCATTGCATTGATATAACGTTGACCACTGTGACCAGATGGGAGTCGTAGTGGAGTGGAAGGTATTCCCTTCTTCATATGTATCCTGATAGGGTGGCGCCTGTCCATTCATTTTCTCAAAGCCGTATATAGAACCCCATCTAATCAAACAGCAGCCTGGTTCTTCTTCATAAAATTTCCATGAAACCAATTCCAGTGAGTTCATTGAGGAAGATGAAGCAAAATACTGTTCACCCGGAGACACTTTCGGCATGAGGTGACCAATTATGAGTTATCTAACCCAAAAGTCATCAACTCAAGATAGCTTGAGCCCAAAATCTTTCTTTCTTCACGAAAATTTTCCTAAACTAATTATTCAGGATAGGTCATAGTGAAGTCTGCGTTCGGGAGTTTCGCCTTCAGCAGACCCTCTCCTATGATCCTGCAAAATCGTTTGTCTTTGGTTTGTGACAATAAAACCCCTAAAACCGCATCAGTGGCTCCAGCAAATGAAAGGAACGTCAAGGAAACTGCGATATTTTCAGGGCTACCACATCATGGTTAAAACTGTCCCTTCCAAATCATTTACATGCAATTTCTGCATGTGGTTGATTTGTTTACTGGGCATTTTTCAAGTTCGACAAATACCTAGAATCGAAGAACAGTGTTCATTGAAACATACTAACTCGTTGCCGGATAATGTGACTTGCGCAAAATGTTGCAAGCCGTTCTGTGGCTTTAACAATTCGTAAGACTTTCTTGAACCGGCAGTACAAACGCTGGCGCAAAATCTGCAGAAATATATTCCTTTAACTAAAATTTGTCTGATATTTTCTGCCCCAATTGATTGACAGGGAGACCACTGTCAAGGTACCCAGGGAAGCCCTGTTCCCAGTGATCACTTTGACAGAAATGGTTTATTAGCTTCGAATGACAAATACAATGCTTGAAGAACATAATACTTTTTCGGGGAGCTGCTAGATAGTTTGAGGCTGAAGATGCGCACGCTGAGATTCCAACTATTGCATCAATAAATAAATATCACCCGAAATAAGGAAGGAACTTTCAGATGAAGTTGAACCTTGATAATGGAAATACTAATGACAATGTTTATTTTCAACTTGCAAGTGGCACACCGTCAGACATGGTCATACTTTTAGAGTCAGAATAAAGCTTGACTGGGGGGATTTGCGGGTACTCGAGAGTGCTCGAACAAGAGGACATGTCCCAAACAGTGGGTAATATCTGATGAAATATTAATAAATTCGTTTCAAAACTTGTCGAGAGCATGCTGAATGATGCGTGACTGGGTCGCTACAATGTGAACGCGGCAGACAACAACACAACGGGCAAAAGGGGACAACCAACGAGACATGCTTATTACATAAAAAGTCATCATAGTTGCAGAAACCGAAAAAACTACGACAATGAGAATGAGGTCTGACTATTTCAAAGATGAAGCCGGCTTATATAAGCCAAAAGCGAGAGCCATTGCTGGGTAACTGAGTAAATGGCCGGAGTGGCAGCAAGCAAAGATGGAGATAGAGATGGAATAATTCGTGGTAGAAGCAAATGGCAGTTTTGTCTTGAAAATATAGTTTAACTTGAAACTAAATAGACTCGCTGGTGCCTCTGTTGTAGGGAATTAGGTGCAAAGAATAGGTTCGAACGGAAGATAGTGCCAATGCATAGGGCCGAACGAACACCGTATGTGAAATTTAACTTACGGAAGAAGCAAACGGAATTTGCAGCAAAAAAACAGGTTGGTAAAATGCGAAAAAAGGTTTCATCGGTTTAGAATGAACTCGTCTAGGGCCCGGAAAAAATTTGATCGCAGTTGCGATTACAGGCTTGAATATGCGAGAGGTTGCGGTCGAGTTTCTGAAAAAGTAGTTGCGGGAGTACGACCACACTGGGTATGGCAGGGCCATGCCATCAGTGCACTGACATACATCGGTTTATGGACAGTCGTAACGGTTGTAGAGGATGCCGCAGTCGGAAAGGGGTGCGCATTTCCGTGGCAATTGGATCTGGGTTTGGCGGCCAGGGAGACACGGAAGAAGCCAGGCCAGTGAAGGGTCACGGCAAACTTCCCTTCATTTGAAGGACCATGTGACGGCAGACCGGGGATCGGCCAAATTGAATGAATACCGTTTGTATGGCGCTTTGGGCAATTACGGTTGACGTTTTAAGCTCGGAAGGAGGGGGAATGAGGAAGGGATAAGATGCGAGCAGTATCTTCTGTTGAGTGCCAAAAGGCATCAGATAGAACGGTGTCAGCAGAAAAAATTTACAAAAAAATTATAGCATGCTAAGTGCATCCAGTAAAGAATGGATCGTTTCCTGACCTAGAAACCAAATAATAAGTGGACTGGAGTAGGTGCATAGTTCTGGGGAGGTGGGGACTTTGTCGCCGAGGTAGCTAGAAGGGAGGCTAGCCGTTGGACTGGTTGGAACGGGCGGTTGTATGGCGGTAGTTTTTAGCTTACCAAAAGAACCCGAACATAGGGTCTCCGTTGTAATAAGAGGGGCCTAATGTGGCCAGGGCCAGTATACTAGTGTAACGGTGATACTACTGATCGGAAGACAAGCGAGTATTATGTTTCGTTCGTAGAACTTTGCTTTGCGTCGATTGAAAATGGGAAATCTATTGCGGAATTCGTGGGGGCCACTTTGTAACATTTGCTTGGATTTGACCGACGAATGAGTGGAGTCAAGGAATCTCCAGGAAAGCTCAAGAAGACTCGTTCGATAGAAGGTCTGTGTTCAGTTTTTGTAACTACGATGCAGATTAGAGTTTTGCTTTCCTGTTCAATGGTCCGTAACCGGTCAGTTGGCATTTTCGAATAAATAACTCCGCAGCGAAGGCCTTCTTTCTTTCATTTGGTGCCGTGACCAGGATAAGAAT